GGGGGGGGGGGGACACAAGACAGGGGACAAGAGCGGCAGAGAGTGGCAGCTACGACCGTCTGCTGTGGAAAATGGGAAAAGCCCCCTGGGCCATTCGTGTCGTGAGTTTTCCATTGCTCAGCCAAGCTGGATTCAGTCCTGGGTTTGGGTAACATCTGCACTTTCACACTACAGGCACCGGAGCCCAGCCCAGCAGCACGTGAGGTTAACGGAGGAATTCAGAACAAATGTTTCTGACAATGACAAAGCAACGAGCTCCAAGCAGAGGCCTGCAAACAAGGGCAGCCTCGCTTCCCACCTGATTATCGTTAGTATCCTCCTCATTTACAGCTGTCCCAAGTATTTCCCTTCAGATGGTCCAACCTACTGAGCAAGCCTGTGCAAAATACAAATTTCCATGTGTTTCTCTTGCACTTTAAATAATTAAAAATCCTGATGGCAGAAGGAGGGGGAGGAGGATGTTGTGGTGCTGGCAGGAAGGCACACGGCCAGCATCCCTGCGGCTGCCAGGTGGTACCCAGCTGGGACACACGCTCGGGCAGCCCAGCCCTGCCCGGAGGCTGCCAGGCACCGGGCAGGAGCAGCTCCAAGCCCTATAAAGCACCACATGAAGAGGTCTAGATGGAGCCCGGTAACACCCTAAAATCCTTACTCCCTTCTGGGCTGCAGAACCTGTTGGAAGAAATGGCACGCTCGGCTCCCAGCCCTCCTCCAGTCCCAGATTTCTCAGACCCTGTGACAGAGAGCCAGAAGCACTTTGGCCATCGCCCCATCCCTTATTTTCCTTTTCCACAGAAGAGAAGCGAGCACAGACGTTTTTCTCCCCCACATCCTCCCTCTATCAAGTGAGGAGGAGGAAGGTGGCTATTGCAATGCAGAAGTAACCTCGTGGTACCAAACACACAGCTCCTACCACCACGTGCGGTGGTGCCCAGCAGCCGGGTGACTAAACTCTCTCTCCTCCAAACACAAATAAAACATTTCTCCAACTAAGCAACATCCCAAGATCCTCAAAACTTTTCGCCGTCGGATAAAGTGGACGACAGGTCTGGGTGAAAGTGCAGCCTTGGGGTATGGGTATAAATCCAAAGCTGCTGCCCTCCGGACTCAGGGCTCACCACCTCTCTGGTTACTTCCTAAGTGCCTGGAGGGATTTTATTGCCACCTCCTTGCTGGGAAGCAGACCTGGATGGCAGCAGTCTGGGGATCTAGAAATAAAAGACTACAAAAAATCTACCAAAAAACTGGGGAAGAGTCAGAACAGCCAAAGCAAGGACAGCTGTGGGGCAGGAGTTTGGGAGGGGGCCATAGCCGAGGTGAGCTCCGTGCTAAAGGTGTGCCCGGGAGATTAGGTGACAAAACAACCAAATTGGGGGTGAAAGAAGGAATAAAAAAGCCTCGATGCACACTCAGTGTGGAGATCTCTTGGGGAACTCGGATCGGTCCGCGTCAGCCTCAAACTGCAGTGCCCTGATCCAGGGAATTTCACAGCAAATACTGGTTTAAGAAACTGTCCTTCCTTGGCACATCTGCTGGGACGGGGCTGAGCCAGGGACCCAGGGTACCACATCCCAGACCCCTCAGGGGGTCGGTTTTTAATCGCTGGGGCAGCCGGAGGGCAGGAGATTAAGGTCGGGATAAAGGAGTCAGCTTCTTTTGTTAAAGTGCCTTCTTGTCTTTGAGCTTTTAAAACATCTTCCTCGCTTTTTCAGAAGAGGGGAGCAATAAAAAGCAATACTGGTTTTATATGAAACAGAGTAGAGGATTAATCAGTATTTACACAGATCTTGGATACGGTTATGGCACAGACTAATAACCCAACACAGCAACCCAAAAAGCAGAGTGTCAAAAAGAAGGGAAAAACTTGTTCGTATGCTTTCAACACCATCCCCTGGAGATCCCAAGTGTAAACGGTTTTATCTAGGAAAAGGCATTTTAACTTGGGCTTTGGTAATCGGGGTTGATTACAGCCACACTGCGCAGCCGGCGGGGAGGACGTGGGTGGGCGCGCGGCCGCCCGACCTCTCCAGAGCACAGCCTGGGTTTAGACAAGTTCAACTTTAGCGTTTGGATAAACAGCCACCACGTCATATCCCTCGGGGGGCTTAACCCTCTCCTTCGCGTGCGTCTCGCAGTACAGCTGCTCTTCGATGAAGAAATACCCTCTCTGCTTCAGGTTGAGGCCACAGTCGTCGCACATGAAGCACTCGGGGTGGTAGAGCTTGTCCCGAGCTTTGACGATCGTGCCCCTGGTGGGAGATGGGGAGAGCTCGGGTGAGATGGAGAAACGACGAGCGTAAACAGCTTTTCCTGCTGCCTCGAGTGAAATGGAGTAAGGAAAGCAGCGTGCAGGGGCTCCCATCCCAACACGTCAGCCCACCCAACGCTGCCGCCCCGCTCCACCGTATTTCTGCGGGAGGGGATGCTCCTTCCCGTTTGTCCTTACGCTGCCCCGCAGCACCATTCCACGCCTCGATGCAAAGCAGAGCCTTAAATATTTATGCTCAGCCTGGATCTGAATGTCAGGAGCCAGCATCCCCCAAGCGCTCTGGCAGGGCTGGGGCTGCACACGCAGGCGCTGAGGCTTTTGGAGCCGAGACCTCCAGCTCTCAGCCCCAGTGACAACACGGTCGCAGGCGTCTTGCGGAGCAGAGTCTCAGCCAGCAAATCTGGCTTGAGCAGAATGTAAGTTACAACAGAACATAAATTACAACAAGACGGAGCAGAAAAACACCCACATGCTCTGAAATCAGACTCAACATCCATCCGTCGGAGAGGAACTCTTCAAACAAACAAACACAAATAATCTGCAGACCTTTTCTACTTGACCCTCGAAGCGTTTCCCCCCTTGTAAGGCAGCGAGTGTCAGCGCCGCCGGTGCTACTCATAGTCCCCGGGCAGTTACTACGATAAGCAGGGCAGAAACCACCCCGTCAATCATTCCCACTTTGCTGCAAGATTCCCTTAAAAGGGGCAATCCAGACCGTATTCCTCAATTCCAGGTTTCCATAGGGTTAGCAAAGGCCAGGAAGGGATTTAGGGCGTTCTGATATAAACACAAGGTGTTCTGCTGTGGATTCGAGCCCACGCGTCCGGCAGGAGCCGGC